TAAGAATGATGAAATGGTATTAACAAGAATTCTGCAACCTGCCTTAAAGAAATGTACAGAAACACATGGGCTGCAATTCTAATCCCACCTCTGTTCACTGCAGAAACATATAGTCAGGCATATGCAATTTTTATCTGAATTCTCTGCTATTGCTGCAAGTGAGAAGCTTTGTTAAGTGTGCATGCTTTAGGATTTCAGTAGAGATTTTCTGCTAACTGACATCAAACAGGAGTATTCAGAGCTCTCGGTTTTTTTTTTCAGAGCAATGCACTTTCTGAGCTATGAAATTTCCATTTCGAACTCCTAAAATCACTTTTGCATCTTAAAAAGCAGCAGTATTATTTCCCTGTTTTGCAGTTTGGCTTATGCTCATCCACCTGATAGGTTGTTACAGCTGCCGGGTATTCATGAATTCTGCCATACGTACTGCATCCAACTATCCCCCATTCCTTACAGAGATTATAATGGCTATATCTGTCAGTTGAACGCTTTTGAAAATGCAGCTTTTTCCACCAACAACCAATAACTTCAATCTTTTCTGCGTTTTTTCATGTTGGAAGGCAGAGTACACTTACTGTGCTTCCAAGCAGCATGGGATTTCCTACACATCAGGGATGCCCAAACACTTCTAGACGCAGGGTCACTGACACCTTTTAGACTTTCACAAGTACCAATAGCACAGAAAAATGAAAAACCAAGAGTGTCTACTACTTGGTGTTATATGCTTCTGTATAAGCGGCCAACTATGGACAACTCTTCGCAGACTGAAGAGCCACCAACCAGCTGTTTGGGAATGACTGCAGTGAAGCAGTCTCAGCCTGTTGCCACGTTCTTGCTCCCCGTGCTGAGGACAGGACCACGGTGCAGGTCTGTGTGTGGGGAGAACGCTCTGGCCCTGCACAACACTGCTGATTATGTAGTTTATACTGAGACCAGCATATACGGTAGACCTTCTACAACTTCTTCCACTGGTGTGACTTCTATGGAAATACATCGGAAGGGAAGAGCTGCACAGGGCAGCTCAGGTCTGCAGTGCCATAGTTTCCCATCCTGTCTCAATACACAATTGCACTGGCGCAGAAAGTCGATGACCCAGGCCCAGTCGTTCAATTGGAGCAAAACCAAGTCCCTTTCAATATTCCCTCCCTGACCCAAGGCATTTTTGACTTAGCTGTGTGTCTTTATTTCCACACCACATACTCCCCTTCCCTTCCCACTCCCCAGCATAATAATTCATTTTGCTTTTTGATAAAAAGAAATAAATCATTTTCACATTAGGAAAAACTGAAAATGACTACAAGTAGAGGATAAATTTCTGACATTACGCACGAGTCCCAAATGAATGGAACATCTTAAAACTTTGCTTTAGCAGGGTTCATAACTGAAACGCTGATGTCACATTTTGGCTGTAAGAGCATGAATGGTCCTTACATAGTAAGTTCTCATTCGGTGACACATGAACCTTGATATTATCTGACCTACTACTTATTCACAGCGAGATACGACATCATCCTTTCATGATGATATATCATAAGAGTCACGGCTGCACAGAAGTCACACAAATAAAACAACTCTGAAGACCGGATTTTCCCCGAGCCACCACCATTCATATCATTCATCTTCTTTCAGCTCTTGCCAACAGAAATGCATGACTATTTACAGTGGCGGAGAGAGAAAACCTTTCTGCTGAGGCATCTTTTTTTTATATTTCTGCAGTGTTGTCATCTGTCTTCAAGCTGCTAAACCAATTCACACTCACTCTTGTCTCTCCTCTCGGTTAGCAGCTACACACAAAAATGTTTCAGTATGTCAGTTAGCAACATCCCTCTGAAGACTCATTTCTACTTTCTTAAAATCTAAATGTTTCCTTTTAAAAAGCGTGAAGACGACCACCAGTGGATATACCAATGTAGAGACATCTTGCTATGCCTGAATCAACTGAACTGAAACATTTTCACAGCATTTTATAATCAAAGAAATTTCATTCTTTGACAGTCCATTTTATGAAAGTGAATCACTTAAGGTATAGGAGGAGTCAATTCAGTCCATCTGAAAGCAGCTTCTGATTTTCAGTATCACACTACTAACTCTGAGTATGACTCTTAGGAAAGCTAAGCATCCATAACTGCAGCTGAAGACAATGAATGCATTTGAAACAGGCGTAACGTATCCAGGTGCTGCTATCAGAATGGATGTAGTAATTTTTCCATACTTTACATAAGAAATGCTCAAAAGGACCATTCTATGGTCCTACAGCACACAGAAAATAGACATCCTCAGTTCTTTTTCCTGTGTCTTATCTTCAGAAGCATCCTATTTCTATTTGAATTATTCTTTCAAGGCCTGCAAGAATCTACCTGAAGCAAGATCAACTCCAATCCATCTGCTGCAGTAACAGTCCTAGAATCAAGATTGTTTACTAAAAATATTTCACCGTTAACTTCTTGAACACAGAGTTTGACTGTACATTCAAGAGCTGAAGGACATAGATGGCCCCGTCTACCTCCAGCAAGACCTGAACTGTAGCAAACAGATACTGATCTTGGGACACAGTGCTAATTCATCTCCAGGAAATTGAGATACCGGATATTTACAATTCTTAATCCAAAATCAAGTACCATAAAACATGGTAACTTAATTTTGAAACCTTAGAGTGAATTTATTCATATGGTATAGCTCTCTGGTTACCTGCTTCAGTGTTTGTCAGATCTAATAGAGAACCTTGCTGCTACGGTCTTGGAAATGAAGACAGTGAAAAGACAATGAATAACTATTTACACTATGAATGATAGTTCGTATGAAGTTTATTTAGGATTACAGGGGCAATATGAATAGTGTAGAAGTAGTTCATAACACTGAGTCTGAGGGAAGAGCTCTTCATGCTGTGGAACTACAGTATGGGAAATCGGGAGCTTTTGTCTTTGTTTTCATTTTTGCTACGCTGTTTTGCACCATCCTCAATTGTTTTTACCCAAATGGACTGTCTTTAACTGGGGGCTTTCTTATTCAGTTTATGAGCAAAATCTCTTGGATTCAGACACAATTTATCACTTTCATGTGCAAAACTTGCTCCGGAGAGTTTTGGGGACATTTGTATTCAGGCTTCGTAGATGCTTGGGGCACAGATTACTGCAAGGAAATTAAAACCGTCTTCCACCATCTCTATGGCACCACCTAGCTAGAATACAACTAATACTCATGTCAATTCTCTTTTCTGGTGCACAGGCACGTACCAGATCCTCACAAATAAACTGCTAGATCCATACTCAAGAAGTCTTTCCCTGATACTTGAAAGACAAGTAATGATCATTTCTGACCTCACATATTCTTTTTTGCAGGTAAATCACAGGAAAGGGAATAAATGTGACCAAATTTGCAACTTCCTGAGTCTGATATACAGACTTTTTCTATAAAGAAAGGTAGATACCTGTCTCGGTTTTTTCCTCCAAGAATTGTAGAAACTATAATGAAATCTACATTATTGAAATATTGTTCTTCATAAGAATCTAGCAAGTGATTTTCCATCATTAAAATGTTACATTTCTTTTTCCTTTATAGTCTGTGTTTGTTAGGTGTATCTGGTCATCATGTAAGACAAAAAGATTGTATAGATGTTAAGACCACAACACATAACTCTGCAAGTGTTTGAAAAGACAAACTCTAAACAATTCTCTTTTCTGTCTACAAAGAACTTTGCAACCTCCTTTTCTGGACAGACAATGCTTCATACTGAAGCATATGTTATTCTCAAATACTATTAGACTTGTGCAATCACTGAAACTTAGTTGGACTATAACTAAGCCAATACTGAAATTATTTTAATTATTTTTATTATTGGTAGCAGCATTATCATGTAATGCAAGGAACCAGAAGCATACGACATGTTTCATAAAAGACAATACTGCATGCCTTTGTGGTACCAACAAATGGAGTGAGTGCTGGCATGCGAGTGTGTGTGTGATCAACAGCGAATATCAAGCCGGACTGGCTGGCAACTATGTGAAATGATGTGGAAGCCAGGGGAAGATATATATATTTGTGTATGTGTGTACATGCGTGTTTTTGCACCAGTGTCTGAGCGAGCAGGTCTGCACCAGCAACTGGAGTGGGGTTGTGAGCCTTGAAGTGCTTGAATGTCCCAGTACCAGTAACTGGAGAGACCAGGATCAGCGACAGCAACTGGTTAGGCTGTGTGTCAGCTCAGCTACAAGAGGGATGCACGTTGAATATATGTATATATTTCCTAGCACCAGACCATCATCATGATCAGCCAGAGAGGGTAACAGGATGGAGCTGTTGGTGTTGTTTGTGTGTGTGGGAGAGCTGAGTGTGTCCACCTGTGTTGACCTGTGTGGCCAGACCTGTCTATGTGTGTTGTATGTGTGTTTGTGTGCCTATTGGGAACGCATGCTCATCCCTGCTACCAGTTGGACCTGAAGGCAAGGAGCTGTGGCAGCCTCACATCTATCTGGCTGCTGGATGTGTCCCCACATCCTTAACTTTCTGAAAATAGGATCTTGTGTGTCAAATTTGAACATATGCTTGCTATATATATATATATAAAATACTGTGTTGTACATAAGGCATTGCATTCATCATTAAGTACTTAATAACATAACCTGACAATAGAACGTTTACAATATGTCAAAAAGCATTGATTAGTTTTGCAAACTTTTACTCAAAACTGTTCTTTACTAAAAATAACAAGGGGATTCTTTCACTTTAACCAGCTTATACTATCTACACACAGAATAAAACCCCCAATATCCTTGTTAGTATTTGGTGGAAAACAAGATGATTTAAATATGGTTATTTTCTTTATATTTATAAAATTCCCTTTTCCCTGCTTCACAATGCATACAGAAAATGTAGAGGCATTCTAAAGAGAGGGACTTGGCTCTTAAATTTAATAATGAAAGTATTTACATTGCAAATAAGCTAAAAACTGCAACATTTCTTAGTGATTTTCTTTCATCTGTTTTTGTTTTGCGTGTACTTACACTCAAGGCAGTTGGTCCTGGAGGTCCTGCATCTCCCTGGTTAAAATAGGAGAGTAAATAAATCAGCAATCTGTTTAGTCATACATTTTTAACCCCGAGGCATTTTAGAGGATATGCACCATGGCAGAAGTAAATTCAGTATAATCATCAAACATGCTCTGATTACGAAAATATATGAGTCAAGCAATATTCTTTTTCAGTAATTGCATACATGTACACAGTTCACCACAGGTTAAATGGAAAAAAAGTGGCAAGCCCCTGCATAAATTAATCACAGCTTAAAAAAAGCAGTCCTTCAAAACACACTTGCGTATGCCAAATTACAAGCTGCGGCTTACATGCACAAGGTGGCCACGGAAGTCAGTGTGACAGCTCACATATGTTAAGACATCGGACTGTGTAACACATTCAGAGAATTAGGTCACTGAGGTACGAATCGCGCTGTGAGACCTTCAGGTTCAGCCCGTGGGAGCAAATCAGAGCACCCAGAGAGCAATTTAGAACATCAAATTTAGCCTCCTGCTCTGAATTCCTATCAAAATTTATTGTGATAAAGAGTACTTGTCTTCCATACTTCCAGTTAGTCTGTATTCATGTTCTTCACCCTTTGAGCTACACAAATGGCAGCAGTGGGTGTTCGCCACATGTAGTTAAGGCAACGTGTTCAATATAAGAACAAATATAATATAAAGAATGTCATGCACACTCACATCTAAATACAACTTTACAGATAAAAAGTACCTTTTCTCCTTTAGGACCAGCCACACCAGGACTACCAGGGTCACCTTTTAGTCCCTGGGCAAAGAAGAAAAATGCGTATTTGTTGTCATTTGTGGAAACTGTTGGACAAAACCCTTTAGTGCTGTGAATTAGTATATACTAACCATCTAAGCCTTCAAGTATTATCTCATAATTCTTTATTTTCAATATGTTGTGAACAAAGAAACATCTATCAAGGACCGCATGTCTTCAACACATAACTAAACATACAAAGCCAACCTATCCACTTGATTGTGCCCCATTACAGCAAGTAGTTTGTAGAAATGCGGTCCCAGTAGTTCTGTATCTTGCACGGTTGACAAAGACAGAATGCTAGAGAAAGTACTAGTACATTCACTTAAGCTCTCCTAAAATTGCGAAAGAGGCAGAGGTGGGCAGAGAGCTGTGGATTTTATGTTTCAAGTAGCAATGTTGAGCTAGCGAGCTGCAGCAGGGTACAGCTCAGAGCTGCTGCACATCCTCCAACACTCCGATCTTCACCGGTGTTTGAAAAGGCAATCAGAGAAATGATCGAGTCCTTCATACCTCCCTCCTTAGTTCTGTCTTCAGCTGGAGAAGCAGATAATACTGCCTCGTCTTACACGTTACATACACAGCAATTTCACAATTGTAGACTCATAGAATGGTTTGGGTTGGAAAGGACCTTTAAAGGTCATCTAGTCCAGCCCTCCTGCAATGAGCAGGGACATCTTCAATTAGATCAGGTTGCTCAGAGCCCCTGATGTTTCCAGGGATGGGGCATCCACAACTTCGCTGGGCAACCTGTTCCAGTGTTTCACCATCCTCGTCATAAAAAATTTACTCCTTATATTTGGTCTGAATCTATCTTCTACAACAGCTACAATACAGATCTTTCACTAACATGTCTAGCTAGAAGCACCCCAAAAAATATCTTTAGCACCCAGCACATTATCTTTGATGTCTTCTCCATGCTCTAAAACACATGGAAAAGTGAGAGGTTTTGAAATACGCCCAGCAAATTCAAGCCATTCTGCAGTAAGGAATGAACATAATTCTGATGCTGGACCAAACTACCATGAACTCCTTTTGTTTAACTCAAGCGATTTGTCTTATTCCTTGCCTCTTATCACTGCTTTAGAGGCATGCAACAGAAAAGCATATACGTTGTGAGTCAGAAATAGCTCTACGGATTCAAAGATTTTGCTAAAGATACCAAATGGCGCTGATACAGGCAATACAGGACTGAATTATAATGAGATATCCCACAAGTAGGCCACCCTTGTTATTATGGCGGAAGTTAAATAGGTCAAGGACAGAAAAGATTCATCCACCTCTGAATTAGGGTTTTGTAACTTAAGTTCTTCCTAGCCTCCTTTTTGCCCTTGCAAATTCTCTTCCTGAGTTTGCAATAATTGGAAAGATAGAGACAACTGGCACAAAAATGATAAGCAACATCTGTGCCTTCGTGGGTACAGAAACATTAAATCAGTGAGTGTTCTAAATACTGCATATTTGTGCAACTTCTCTTCCTGCTAAAATTACATTAATTCACCATCTGGAAGGAACACCATTTAGAACTATATGAGCATTTAAGTACCCACTTTGGATTAAATTTGTGGTTGTTGTAAATACCCCTGATTTAGCTTTGATTTGTCCTTTATTAAGCTTGCCAAATATGTAATAGTTAAATCAGAAGTAGTTTCGCTGTTTGAACTTAAAAAATGTAATAGGCAGATGGATTCAAAAACCAAGCCAAAAAATTGCTTTCTTTTTACAGTCTGCATATTTATGACATAGTTTTAATACTGTCTCCATTTACTACATTTTACTTGTCACCTCTTCCTGAAAGACTGCATAAAACACTACCACTCCATATTCTAAAAAGCCATTTTAGGAATTTTTCAGGTATGCAAACTGTATGTATCTAGTTCAAAATCAATATTAGCAAATCAGTAGTGGAACAATAATTTTGAGTTTAAGAATTAGCTCTGAGGCTGTATATTTATGTAAGAGAAAAGACAAGAAAAATCTGCAACTCACAGAAGGGGATATATCTGTGTATGTCTCTACTGAATAGAGATGACAACTGCAGACAAAAGATATTGAACCCAAGCCCTGCACTGTCGAACTTTGAACCTAATTTTTTTCCTAATTGGTGTGTTTAAAGCTTTTAGTAGTGTTCCTGCAGTGTACCTCGGTGAGGTATGCAGTTTGACAGCTACTGCAGAGATGATGACCACAGAGGTCAACCTCACGTAAAAAGGACAAGGGGAAACTACATATTGGACAACAAGACTTACAGTGTTTGAAGCAGGCATTCTGAGTACCCAGAAAGGTTTTTATATAAAGTATTTATTTTAAAGTGACCGAATTGCCCTGCTTCAGAAGGGGGGGTGGACTAGATGCCCCACAGAGGTCCCTTCCAAACCCGAACATTCTGTGATTCTGTGAATTAGCTTTCCTTTTCAGTTTATAACCTCAAGAAATAACAGTAGTATAAAAAAAAATGTTTAAAAGGTTATTCCATTAGAAGTATTTCTTGATTTTCTATACAATAATATTTTTTAAAGATATGTTGTATCTTAATACGTTCCAGACATAGTGAATGCTTGCAAAACCACATCTGGTACTGCATCATGCCCATTCTTCCCTACAGCCACCCTTTCAAAACTGCTGAGTGGTTTAGCTGCTGCTGTCTGTCTCTGAAATGACACAAGAAGAATTCCTGTGCTAAGTCATATCTGTTGCCCCTTGTAGCATAGTACAGTACAGTATCTTGTCTCTGGGAGAGACCAGAACAGGGTGTTTCAGTAAAATGGATATGGTTATCTAAACAGTTATAATTTGGATGATTTCTAGATTACGGTTTGAGTTGAAAAAGCCCATTTTATGCAACACTTTAGAAGAATGAGGTCAATTTTGAGAACAATATACTAACTTCTATTGAACTAAGGAGTCTGTTACCAGATTTGCCAGAAATTCAAGGAGCAAAAATTCCAGCAACTCTTACAACAGAGAGTAAATGAATCATTAAATTCCATCCTGATCTAATTCTAGCTTTTTTTGATAAATGCAACAATACACATTTGTGAGTTCACAAACAGTCTTGAACTGGTACCTTTTTCACCTCTGTATGGACTACAGCTTGGTCTTTTTACAGGTCAGAATAAACTTACATTAAGGTTCCTCTATGGATGCCAATATATAATGTAAGCATTAGGATATGCATGCAGAAGGCCAGCTCAGCGTTAACAAGATAACAATGTGAGAAATAGCTGAAATGAGAAATGTTATATATATATATATATATAACAAGACAGGTATTACTGTAACACAACCGCTGACCAAGGGAGAAATTACTGGAAGAAATATATTACAAATACTAATAAGGGTGTAAAGTCAGCAAAATTGGGGCCAATGGGGGAAAGATTAAAATAGAGGCAGGCTTTTTGCTTGGAAGTGGATGACAGTGGTATTTCTTCTGGTGCAAGGAGTTTAAAGGAGACGTTACCATATTTGTTGACACTATTTTTGACAAGTATTTAACCAGACTTTTCTCTGATATTAGTTTACTGGAGTCTTAGTCAGCCTACAAAACCAACTGGATTAGGAGAAGCAAACACTTAAAAAAAAGTAACTGTGCTCTGAAGGTCTAAAAATGACCTTGGTTTCACAAATTCTTCAAAGTATAGGATTTTATTAACAGTGTCCCAACATTACTGGCATAAAAGATGACAATTTTCCTATTTGAATTTTCTTTTTTAGCCAGTGACAATCTCATACAATGTTTGCTGTGCTCTGGAGTTCCACGGTGAAGAAAAAGTAATTTTATTCAGTGATGTGATAAATACCTTCCATACCAAGTCTGAGAACATTCTATTCATTCAAAAGAAGAACCAGTTATAACCAGAATCAGAAAACCAAACACTTCCTATGGTTTCAGTCATTTGGAAAAGATCATAACAGTCAAAGATTCTGGGTAAAAAGGGAACCGAACATTTTCCCCTAAGCCAATTCTTTTGGATCAACATGATGATCCGCCAACTGGTACTACTCTCATCACCAGCAAAATGGACAAAAGATGAAGAGAACAGAGGATTCACAGCTTGCTGCTTGTGCTAGGAAATCGCATCCCATGCGCCTGTAGGGTCTGAGGAACCACCCTATGAAGGAATCCTAGCCCATAGGGGTATCATCTAATCTGTTCAAATGACAGCAACAACCCGAACCCAGTATATACCTTCTGTGAGTACTCCCATGTAACCTACGGGGGTTATATTAAAAGCGAAACCTGTGTTGGTGCTCGCACAGGATGGGGAAAGCATCCTGTAATTTAAAGGAGTCTGCTTCTATAAATTAGATTTTCTTGCAGACTCTTCTGCTGCTTTTGACCTTGACACCGTGATGTTGAGCTGGGTTAAAAAGCCACACAAGGGGTTTGTAAGGGTTTAATGAGCAGACATCTCTCTGAGACCAAGTAGCTGGCAATCCCTGTGATAAAACCTCTGCAGCCCAAACAAGGGGATTTGAATGACAGCCCAGTGAGGTTTTAGGAATACTTTCAGCAGTAGACTGACAATGAGCTGATCTGGGAGAAAATGCAGAAGCTTCAGGAAAGCCAGCCTAAGGAGAGGAGTCTTACTGGGAAGCTGCCAGAGTTTCTAAGGCTTACCCTGCCTGGCAACAGACAACTGGACTGGAGGGTTTCCATATGGACTGGAGACCAGAGGGACGAAGGGCATCAAGAGCCAGGATCCTGTTTAACATCTCCTTGAAGACAAACTACAAAGATGAAGAGACATATACCAGCCACAACACAGACCTCACCAGTAGTGTCAGAAGACAGAGTCCACAGCCTTTTCCCAGCTGCCATCAGTTACTTATTTACCACAGCTGGGAAATATCTGAGAAGTGCATTAACCTTTCACCCTGAGACAAAATGTTTACCATAAATTTGACATTAGATCAGAGAAGTCTGAAAGAGAGTATCAAAATAACTGAGTAGTTAGCTTTGCATGAAATTATCAATAAGAAAACTCTTTCTACAGTTCAGGAACATAAGGAAAATTGTTATGTTAAGCGTTCCCTCCAAGTAAAACATGCTTTTCGTGCCCTAATGCTTTACTTGATGCATTCTGACTTAGCACACTCTAGGTTCACCAAAGCCTGAGAAAATTGTATCACACTCCGAAAATTTTCTCAAAGAGAGAGCAGCAGTCAGTGCTTATGCATCATCACAGGAAAGGAATAGAACAGGTGAAGTGACAACAGATGCCCTTCCCAATGAAAAAAATTCAGAGATCAGCTGGACTGAGACCAGAGATCTCCAGCAGCTCCTGCAGCATCCAAGTCTTGCCTGCTGGAAATGCACCTATTTGTGCATATGCACTCCACTGCATGCATGTGGCAAAGAAAAAATGCTGTAACATTGGCATAGTCTTTTGAGGAGAATAGCTTTTTCACTCTCAGAGATACCTGTTTGGAAAATCATCATTTACAGTTCCCTGGCCTGTATTAATCTGGTTCATTCTCACGTCACGTTAAAATCTCCTAGAACAACTTATTATCTAAAGTACTGGAAATACAGTAAACAAGCCAACACACTAACCAACCACGTGCAAGAACATTATTATAGATTAAATCGACAATCTATACTGAGTAATAAAACTTGGAAATACTCTAATGAGTAGACAACAGAACTACACATTCTCCACTGGGCAGCCTTAAAGTCTAAATTAAAACAACAGTTTCAGAGTCAGCTGTATATGCTGGGATAACCTTTGTAATTTAGCAAAGTATTTTCAAAGCTCCAAACAATATACTATTTTTCAGTTTATGTCTCATGCACTTTTCATTCAAAAACTTCAAATTGCTACACTACTAGAATTTTCTGGATTGTAAGTAACATCTACTATCTCCTTACACCTCTGTCCCTAACAAAATCCTCAGACTCTAGACATAATTAAATATCACCACCAACTTCATACTTTCAAGTAATAGGATTATTCCCTTCCTCTCCAAATATTTCCTTACAATGCTAATACTAAGAGAGTTCAAGATTAGAGACAGGCCATAAGGGTGTGAAGGTAAATGACTGTTACTATCATATCAAGACACTGGATCCCTTTAAAATTATTCATATCACCTTTTATCACCTTTTCCCACAAGTGTAAAAATAAAAAGGTCCAATACATCTTCTGCCTTTCCATTGAAAACCTGGGACTTTTCATTGCTCACTAACTTCACAGGTCCCTTCTTTGACATCATGTTTGCAAAGAATAACAGTATTTTATATAGCAAAGTTTTTAAAAAGTCACTTAGGGTATCACCTTTCCCAGTAGGCGAAAAAAAATTACTGGTGAAGCAGTCAGTTTAATGCTGTGGCAATTATATACTAGATTTTAACCTCAGATGTTTTCTTACACTTCTTTTTCTTCTTTCTTTTCATTTCACAAGAAAGACTCAATTATTCCCCTAGGTATGCATGAGGCATGCTGACAGATATGATAAAAATTACCATGGGATACTACCGATTAATATTAATCGGTAGTATCCCATGGTATGCATTTCCTATCTGTAGTACTGATCATGAAAATGACACGACTCCAAAAGGAGTTGAAAAGTTTCAATGATAAAGATTTTCTTTCCATTTCAATTCAACTGAAAAGCATATGAATATCACATAGATCTTAGTCCACAGATAGTTTCATAGACATTTATGTTGTAAATTTGTCCTTATTCCACATGAGATATCAGCGTGATGGAAAAGAAACTGTGTTTATCAGGATCTCTTTCAGACAGTGTCTATGAAGCTCCACTTGTTACAGTGATACAAATGATAGCATTATTAATGTCAGGTCGCTAAAAAAGCCTCAAGGGATAAAACAGAGATACTATTCAAGCAAACTGGCTGTTCATATTGTACAGGCAAATACCTGCTCACAGATGTATTATGAACACACACCACAGGAAGACTACTTTAGTAATATATTAAGTTATTTATAGCTACTCCTTAAGAAGCTAAGAACAATGGCAACCACATTACTAGTATTTATAGTAAGTATTCATGTTGTCAGATGGATTTTGAATAATGTCCCAGGCTGGGACACAGCACTGCAGATCTTGGCTCAGATTCCTGGAGTGATAAAATGGGGGATGTGCAGAGCAGTTAAATATATTCACAGCTCCTGTATCCAAACCTGGCTCTCAATGAGATTCACTGACCCAGTTAGCACAACCAGTGAGAGATGAGGGAATTAAGCTTTTTAGGTATCTCTTCATCATTACAGAAAGCCTAGTCTCCAAATCACGTCTGGCTTCCCCTCTGTCGTGCTACTTCATTCTAGCAAGAACATTTCGTATAGCTAAGAAAACCCAGGTAGTAACAGCAAGTAAAACTGTTCTGTGACACCTTCTTTCCTGATTTTGATTAAAATAAACTCAAATATGTTTCTGCCATTTGTGCAAGATAAAATGTTCAGTCATCATTTTTAAGTTCTTCACTTGCAAGTACGGAAACCTTCACTCCCCTGGGAAGAGACAACAGCTGCCAGCAGCCGACACCACTAGCTTTAAGCGTTTTCAGGCTTTCTTTATACAGCACGGCAGATTACACCCATGTAAGCAGATTAACTTGATTATTTCAGAAATATCAGATGTTACATTTCTGTATGCGGAATGAGTTTGAGACACACTGATAGCAACCAAGAGTCAATGATACATGGTCCTTTGAATTTAATGACTGGCATCTCCATGCGCAGTGATAACTGAATCCAAAGAATTTTATGGAAGTCTTGTTAAAAAGGAATTATTTGTGGATTCAAACAACATAATGTTGTATTGCCTTGCGCAATTTTACTTCTAAAATGTTTTAATGACAGTTCCCATGATGATAATCTACCGCTTTTTAAAAACATTACAACAGTTCAATAAATATTTCAAAATATAAAGGCTTGATATTTTACACTTTCACAGTGCCACTATGTCAGATATGTTCTATAGTTCACTGGATACTTGGTATACCTTACTCTTCCTAAAAGGTTTATGGAACAAGATCCCATGTAGTAAAGGAGATCGTGTAAGACCAACACAGAAATGTCCCCAGAGCTATGGAAAGAAACACAGATGTGTTTTTTCCATGCTGTCAGCATATGTGCATGCATGACAGAAGTATATGGTTCACCTTTACAGACAGGCAGGCTACAGGAGAATACCCCTTTGAATATCTAAACGTAGTTTCAGCTCAGTACATAGTATATGTTTCCATATGGAGTACTGATTGAGCCTGATTTATCTAGCATTGAATTATAATAACCTAAAATATGAAAGAAAAAAATAAGTATGGTTATAGCGTGCGCAGAAAGCCAAATGACATAAAAAGTGTCATAATTATGTAGTCTGTTTTACTGCATTTTCAGTAGACCCACCTAGACTATCATAGCATTTTTGTGCCAAATGCTGTCCCTTTTACTTTTTTTGGTAAAGTTGCTTAAAAAAGCTTTGCTGAATGGTTTTTCCAAATCCCATATCTGAGTTCCAGTCCTAATGCCAGTCATTCCTCACACAATTTGGACAGTCAGGTTCAGATCCCTCTGTGAGATACTCTCTGCCTTCAACTGCGATGCTTTGCAATTGGAGAACCAACAGTATCCTGCATTAAAACCTAAACCCAGGCTGACTCCCAGCTAGGTCAAGGAGGAGACATGAAGGGATGAGAGGGATAAAGAAAATTGCTGCCTTTATTTTATTTATTTATTTTTTAATCTTCCTGTTCAAATCATGCTGGTTAGCCATTATAGTATTACATTGAAAAAAAATTCTGTTGCTTTTTTTTTCCTCTCATCTTGGTTTAATATATACAAAAATAAATTTACATTAAAAAATAAATTAGGCAAAAGTAACGTTTATTACTGAGCATGTCTATAGTGTTTGCTCAGGTTCAGGCTTGACTGTGAATTCAGTGATCAGGATTATCCCATATTTTTAGACACAAGATTCATGCTCTACGTCAAATACGGACCGGACCAATTAATTAAGTAGGCATTGAAATGTGACAGGAAAAAAAAAAAGTGAAATTTTAACTCAAATTCTTTATCACAGAAGCCACACGGCACAGTGAGTGACTCGCAGCTCTCATGCAGGAATAGCTAACAGCCTGTATATTTTCCTTTTCAGCAACCAAGGCTGCAGGCCTACCTTTAACTGGTCTCCAGAAATACCCTCTCTGCCAGCAGATTATCCAACCAGGAATGATACTCATCTATGTAGTGTCGCTTCAGTTTATCATGCTTGCTTCAGTTTATCACAGGAGCCCTCAGAAGAAATACTACGGCATCTACCACATCCTCACCCACAGCTCTCTGTCCAACATGAGCCACTAGGAACTCATATTTCAGCCGAATGCACCTCTTTTTCTTGCCCCACCATCTTGTGGATGTTCACTCTCCAGGCATATACATTTTTTAAATCCATCACTCTTCTTACACAACTTCTGAATTTCACTGCCTAACCACCCCCCAAACAATG